ATAATTATATACAAACGTGAGATGCAGCTTACATAAGAAATGCCAAAAGAAAAATATTTAAATTACTTTGTTTTAACTACAAATAGCATCTAAATGCACAGATGACTTTCTACTACATAGACGTTCAAATTAACCCTAAGTTAAGTAAAAATAAATTATAAATAGAATCTATATTGGACGATTAAGTACGTGACTTCTAAAACTTCACACTCGTCCTCCTCTATCCCTCGTTCTTTCTATTACCACCACTTAAATATATTATCAACTTTTAGGAACTTTATTTATTTTACTTTAGACCAAAACAACGTGAGTAAACGGTAAGATAAATGTGAGTAATATATTTTATTTAGCAATTACATGAAATACATTTTTATTTTAAAGAATAAAACATTATAAATTTAATCTAAGTAAAAAAACGAGCACTAAAGTAAAATGTTTAATGCTTGGTCGAGTAGCTATTAATTTTATAGGAACCTACGGATAGAAATAAGAAAATCAGTATTTCCCAATTTTGCCAACTCTGCTTACAGAATAATATATTATATATTAATAGCAATCAAGTTAAGTATATAATTGCTTTAGTTAAGATTTCAGATCTATTTGTGTATTACTATGTACATGTTTCCGTTTTCTTTTTTAAATTTTTGGTTAATTAAAAATTGTCTAGCCATAGTGCCTTATTATAAATTACATATAATATTATTTGTTTTTTTTTTCAATAATATTTGTATTTAAAATTAAAATCAAAAAAACCTGAAAGTTTGAAAACAACATGAAATCTATTTTGTACAATATGTGTTGAAGCCTCGAAAACTTTAAATTCTCATTTTCAAATTTCTCCAAAACGGTCAACGAATATTTTGAGTGGCCGTAGTTTCAATCATAAGAAAAATTATAAACATATTATATAATATTCAAGTCAAACCATTTTGCAAACGTTTGTTTCTATTGTTTTTCTTTTCTTTTAATTAATAATAAATTTTGCGTAAATAAATATTTTTTTTTAAAAAGTTAATGAGTATAATTTTAATCAACAAAAAAGAACCTAATGGGATCAAGTGGCATTTGTTTTATCAAAAACCATATTGTCATTATATAATAATTAAATTCATAAATTAAATCTCATTCAAATTTCAATTAATAATACATTTTGAATCAAAATTTACATGTTTTTTATTGAAAAATTTAATAAATTAAATGATAAATTTAATCTATTTAAATTCTTGCCTTATCTCTCGAAACTTAACCTATGCCGTCAATAAATCAGTCCTAACAGTTACCGGGTCACATAATTAACTTTTAATTAATAGGTATGTATAACCTTTTAACTGGTGCACGTTTATTTTCCACAAGTGTACGTTTAAAAATAAGTTAAAAACATTAAATCTTATAATTTTTAATCCTAAAAAAGATACAACTCTTTAAATTGAAAAAATAATCTTTATAAATTACAAAATGCTATTAAAAATTTGCACTCTAATGAAAACCATATTTCTAGAAAAAAGTTGTATATTTTTTTTTTATTTGTGCCTTAATGTTTGAAGTCAGACTATTATAAGTACATCTAAGGTACAGGTACTGAAATATTTTTTTTTAAGTTGTAGCATGATTAGAAAAAACCCATGATATTGGTTATCATGGGTTTTTACTTTCTTTCGCGGTTTTGGTAACCGCGGTGTCAACATAATAACAAGTCAATATTGTACTTATTTTTTTCAATAGTCTCCAAACTATAAGTTTCCTACCTCCCCCCCCCCACCCTCTGCACTCGCACCTTTTAGCCCATGGTAAGCGTCTATTTGATGGTGGTTTCTGCATAGAAATGTAAAGTAAGTAAGTAGCTTAACATATGTACAAGTAGTTACTGGTGTAAATTCGAGGGGCGTTTACACTCGTGTAAATCTCATGAATGATATAAAAGATGCCGGTAACATCTCCATAACGTGATAATCACGTGCTCAGAAATATAAAACATTTTTTTTAGTCGGTTACTTTTGAAGTCAAAAAACGAAGCGCCAAATACCACAAAATCCAGTCAATCTTGTTGATGTCTTTAGATCATATAGAGCGATACTATAAATCTGTGTTCTTTTATAATGTATTTTAGCAAATTTTTCCTGTCACTCTTCAAAATATAATAAAACATAAAAAAAACAAATTGCATTTTTCTAATATTATTAGGTACACAATAAAATAGCCAACGAAATAGTCGCTGGTGGCACAATGCAAAAGTGATCCTTTCAAATTTGTTTCCACTAGGTGTTTTTCAATAATGTGAATATTGTTATTAGGCCACCACCCGGAGTGGTTGTGTTAGTTTTTAAGTTCATGTTTGTACTTATTGTTTACTATACCCAATAAATGGCATCAGAGACTGGGGGAAGTAATGCCTCACAGGTCGCGTCCTCCCCCGGTATTCTATGGGTGCATGTGGAAAAAAAAAAAATTCAAATTCAATAAAAATACTTTTTTGTTTTAATTTTTAAAAAAAAATTCAAGTAGTTATTTAAATGTTTTACATTTTTATATAGTTCCCCTCCCCCCTTTTTTTTAAACAAAATTTAGTCTTTTTGGTAGTATTCTAGATCATATATGTGAATCGATTTATAATGTTTTAACTATAAAGTTTTATTCAGTAAAAATCATACAATAATAGAATGACAAATTGTGTAATATACTCATACGTGCAACAACATAAACATTTTTAAACACATTACATAGGTAGTAAAAATAAATAAATAAAACTGTATTGAAAAATAAATATTACAAAAATGTAATATCGTACGATGAAATGTTAGTTATATATAAAAAAAGGAATAAGTAAATACAAGTACAAGAAATTGCTTGTACAAAAGCCAAAATTGGTGCATTCCTTTTAACAATTCCAGTTAAATTGCATTATTTCTCTTTCAATTGTTTCGTACGCTTCGCTGATCAAAAATTATTGCTGTATTTTTTTACTTTCATTCGAAAATAGTATAGGAAAGGCATTTTGTTCATTTTTATTGCTAAAGCTATGCAGCGCTCTTATGTTCTCCGAATTCGAAAAATACATAGAAACACGGTTAAGTTATTTGGTAGCCTGTTTTGAATGAAGCACTTGTATACTATGTAAACTATAAAAGAACATTTTTGTTTTCCATTTGAGTACCCTAGTAAACTCTTAAGGTCAAATGCTTAGGCACAGACGCATTAAAATGAAACACAAAATAATCTTAGATTATATTATAATTTATAATCCGGTAAAAGGTATTGGTGATTATCTGAAAAATCACATTAAACACAGCAACCAAACGAACCGTGGCTTGATAGTGCATTCCTATAAAATAATCGAACTGAATTAATGTAATAACAATAATAATCTTTCACATGATATGACTGGTGAGGTGAAAAATACTATCACAAACTATAATTTGTGTTGACAAAAATTTTTTTTAAAAAAAAACAAAGTCTAACATCTATCTAAAAAATGTATTATTTTCTGAACTACAAACGACCTACTACAGAATAAGGAAAATTCTTTACTTGATTAAAAATTCATTTAAGTGTAGAAACGTTACATTGGGATTTCGGTTACACTTAGGTAAGTGTAGCACCTCAAATGCAATTATTTTTTATTAATTAATTTAAATTCTCAAATACTTAAGTGTAACTCAAACATTTGTTCTTTACATATTTTTCCTGCTTTAATATGTACGTACATGCTTAAACTGTTTTTTTTTCTAGAGAACTTTCGGTTAAGTATTGGTAAACAGAGTTCAAAAGCCCGTGTTACATTTAAAGGTTTAGAATTACTTAAACATTTTTACCTACTATATGATTTATATTTACACTAACTAAGTGTATTGTTTGATTCGTATTTGTTACAAAAATATTTCAGATAAGATTGCGCTCAAATAGCTATATAAAAAACCATATGTATTATGTCAATAGACTAAAGATAGCATTGATTTACACAATACACACAATTCAACTGTAAACAACTAGTCATTAAATTACACATATCTCATGTTAAATTGCTTTTAAATTTAATTTATAATTTTTTTTTTTAGTTATGATTTATTTGATTTATAAAGTCAATCAGAGATAATTTAAGCTAAAAACTGATATTAACTATGATGTTAAAATTATTTAGTTAACTGGATTATCCAAAATATCCAGTTAATTACATAATTAATAAAAACTTTTAAATTTAGGAGACAAATATTTTATTTGTGAAAAATAAGGTAATGGTTTTTATTCAACTTTTCTTTTGTTATTTTTTTTATTTAGTTTATACATTAAAAATTCGATTAAACATTATCTCGTAACTAACTCACAATTTTTGGTACTTCATTGAACTTCACAAGTTAATAATAGGCACTATATAATATTCAAGTAATCAACTAATCCATCCTTGTAATTTCTGTAATAAAGTTATAAATATTATACTTATAATATTTTAGAAAATATTTATCGAGTTTAATTTTTTGTACCAAAAGTTTGCTCCAGTTATTATTTATACACACCTATTGTTGTTTTCTTGGTTATTATTAAAGCGAGTTTAAGTGCAAATGATAACCTTTTTTGTTCTTCTAGTTTTACGGTTTTCGATATTTTTCTATTTTTATTTAATTGCTAATCTCTTATAGTTCATCTGAACAAACGGTGGTATTCGATTAAAAACACAGACGATGCTTTACATAATCACTAGCTGCCTACTTTTATACGTACTTTAAAAATAATACAGAAACGAGTTAATTATTACAATAATAACATAAAAGGCCATTGTCGCAAGTATGCGAAACGTGAGTTCGTTCTGGTATAATCGATAATATGAAAATATTAATTGATATGCTACCAACTCGCCTAAGTAATATTGTTTTACACGAATAACACCCAACGCTTTTGTTAGCTCGTTAACCGGTTCCATAATAGGTTATCGAAACGAAGATAACGAATCAATATTTACAACGGGAGATATGTATAAAAATAATAATAATAAAAATAGTATTTCTTTTAATACAGTAGTAGTATAGTATACACAAACATATCATTGCATTTACACATAAGACGTGTAGTAATAAGCAACAGTTTTTTTTCAAACGTAAGCCAGCATGACGTCCACAAAGATAACAACTGCAATATTATTGGCAATATGCTTGTTTTTGTGTCTGGCCACGACTTCTCTGGCCCGCTATATACCATCACCCGAGGTAAGCACATAATTTCTTGTCAGAGTACATATAAGTCCTTATCGTTATTATAGTAATAAACGTGTCTAAAAGCTACGTATTCGCTCTATTTTCTCAAAATGCATATTCAAATTATATCTACTAAATACTATATTATCTATTAAATATATTAAAATAAACCGATCCACCGGGAAAATGTTATCACCTGTCAGACACAAAAATAAACACATCATTGTAAAAACGATATACGTACAAATTCTTCGGAAAATTATTAAAACCACTAAAATTTTAAGGGAATTTTTCAGTATACTAGGTGATCCATCTAACTTAAAACACTCGTTTTCTGGGTAGATTATTGCAGCTTAGTAGTTTTTCTTTTTGAAAATATTTTTGTTTGTATTGTACAATATTATAACACTATCAATTTTTTTTTTTGAGAAAATAAGTGTCATGCGTGAAATTGTATCACCGTTTACAAACTAGATGTTTAATAAATAGCCAATTACAAACATTATATTCTGCTTCAAAAAGTGTATAAAATATAAGTACAACAAAATTAACTAACTTTTAATTTTCAAATGAAACTAACAAATCTGTAGCTAGAAAACACCCAACTCAGCTGTACTTACCTTACACTATCCCGAAATTCACATTTCTGGCCCACTTCTTACTATACCTACTGGTTTATACTGTGCTTTGTTTTGATTGTGTTGCATTTAAACCATTGTATATAATAGAAATGTAATTTTTAATTGATTGATAAGTATTAAAAAATAAAAATGGCATAATATGTTTAACCTCATCTACAGTTACAGAAAGAAGACTCTCTCGCCGAAATCCTGCCTAGCGTAGTTAATGAACTCGCCAAAAATCAGTTCATGAAAGACGCCAACTCTAAATTGATGTTCTACGCTAAAGTATGGGAAGACTATTCCAGTAATATTATGAGAAAAAAGGTAAGAATGTTTTGTTATTTTGATACTATCAATTTGTAAGCGTACAATAATATAATATATTTTAAAGGGTTTAATATTATTTGGTTAAAACCCTTTATATCAATGTTATGTACATTGCAAAAAATTAAATATTGTAAATAGTTAAATGTTTCTGAAATATTATAAGTGACTGTATTGGTTTTCAGCTCAACGAATTTGAACGCGACAAGCATTCAAAAACAAAAGCCCAATTGCTAAAGGAAATTAACGTAACCAAAGAAGACGCCGCCAAAAAACTGTTCGAGATGATCAGAAGAGAAGACGTCGAGCTAGGAAAATTGTTAGATGAGCTCTTAATGAAAATAGGAGAAAGGAATATAGTTTTCGAGGACATTGCAACGTACTATTTAAAAAACAGTATCGACGATGAAAATATGTATTATATGTAATAATAGCGGCTAGTCGTTAACGCATAAAATTGTTATAATTGTTATTTATTTTTGTGTAACTAAATTTGTTTAATTTATTAGCGCGTGAGAATACACTATAGAAACTGCACTTAGGTTAATTTTAATATTCTTATGGGCTTTTTTTCCACTTACGGTATGTCACGTTTGGAGAATATGGTGGTGTGGAGGCAGTACTGTTAGAACATTTGTAGATGCTAGGAAAGCGATAAATACCGAGTTGTCACCAAACAGAATTATTTTTTATTAAAATAGAATACACTTTATAAACAACAAAATAAAAATACAAACTCGTTCTCTGTTTTTTTGCTTCAATCTAACAGTCTTTCGTTTTTCCAATCATTTTAATTTATCAACTCATTAGTTTATCGTTTTTGCGATCGTTTGGCTGTATCCAAGTTTTTGCACATTTAACAAAAAGACAACTAACAATAAAAAACCGTATTAGCAGGTAAATATAGTTGTTAGTGTGCATATTTCCAAGTAGACACAATACTAACAAATTCATTTAATAAATTTACTGTCTAATAAAACTTTTAAATATTATACATATTAAAATCATAAAACAGTTCCTTTGCTCTTTAAAACTTTATAGGACTTTCTGTCTAATATAATTATAATGCCATTAACAGGCGGGTTTAAAAATGGCGTACGTTTTTTTTACAAACATTATGTACATAGGAGTATTAATTAATACTCCTATGTAATTAATTTAAAAACCGACAATAAAGAAGGTTTGTTCAAATAACTTTAAACATAAAAAATTCTCAAATAAAACAAAATTAGTGGCATACACGTTAGTATTTTTTAATTAAACAAAGAGATAAGTGTTTTTATGTTTGTAATCATAATAAAGTTATTTTAAAAAGTCTTGTTTTTCCAATATTTCTTTTCTCCGAGTTATCTTTTTTAGAAAAATAATTAATTTTATAGTAGGTTTCAGTATGAATTTGTAAAATTATATCTATACATTCTTTTAATAATATTTTATTCATTTGAAGTCTTATGAACTAATTTTTAAGTGAAATGTACAACTGATTATTTGGCATTTTTCGTTTGGTATTTACTTTATATCCAAGCGCTATGGTAATTTCCTCCAAGCCCAATAAATACATATTTTTTTATAGAATTAAGTTTTGTCACCGTGTAAGTGTGAGGGCAAACTTCACTAAGGGTTATAATAATACCAATGGTCGTTAGTGTTAATTCGGAATTACATCATATATTACAGCAAAAGCGGTGTACACTGTACTAAGGCCAGGACCGAGGCTCTAAGCACAGATGTTGCAGCTGTTCCCCAAGAAGTAACAGCGAGAGTGTGTTTACGAAGGTGATACCCGGATCTTAATAACTCTTTAGGCTAAAGTGCTAATAATATGAACTTGTTAGATGTCTAAAATTGTATTTAATATAGCTTTTATTTACAATTTTAAGCTAAAAAGTAACATATTTTCAAGAGCAATGAGGAAATTAAAGCTAGTTGAACTCATATATACCTATATGTATATTATATATAGTTTTTAAATCTTTCTTCGTAACACTTATCATTTAACCTGAGTTATGACTTAGTAGATTTATCACAATAGTTTTAACGCAATACCGAGCTAATTAAATATTTAACTTAATTCATTTATATTTATTGCACCTAGCATATTTTATAAATCACCACTAACGTTGTAAATAACGTCGAAATAACTTAATAATAATTTTTTTAATTTTCTTAGTCCTGCGACCAGTTCTAAATTCATCTAAAAAATAGAATTAAAAATGTTAAGCTATATACAGGGTCCGGCAAAAAAACCTCCCTTATTTAGAAATGACACTGTGTGAGTTGTGGTGGTGGTACAACGGTGGAGGGGGTATCGATCGATAGCTGTATACATGCCATTTTCTTCTGACCTAACCTAAACTATTGCTAGGAATCATGATGAGGGAGAAGTCTGGTTCCAACAAGACGGTGCCACAGGTTATACTTCGCGGCGCTCACTAGCAAGGAGACATCACCTAACCGCCAAGGTCACTTGATTTATCCCCTTGTGGTTTTTTTCTTTGGGGACTTAAGAAGGCAATCAAACAGGCAGTGGCTGCCATTACACCGGAAATGACACGAAGAGCTATGGTCATTCTCGAAAGTTAAAAGTGAACGGCGCAAAGTGTAACCTGTGGCACCGTCTTGTTGGAACCAGACTTCTCCCCTTATCATAATTCCTAGCAAACTGGTTTAGGTAAGGTCAGAAGAAAATGGCATGTGTACAGCTATCGATCGATACCCCCTCCACTGTTGTACCACCACCACAACTCATACAGTGCCATTTCTAAATGAGGGAGGTTTTTTTGACGGACTCAAAACAAAACAAAACTACATACTATAAAATGGTATTTTTACCGATTTGGTAGTGATTAAAAAAATAACTAAGCATACTAAATAAAATATGAAGCTAGATTTAAGTTTTGTGAAAAATATTCAAAAAAGTGGTCAAATGTTGTTCTACAGTGATACCTCTTATTAGTTAAAATAATAAAAAAACATTTTTAGAAAGGTAAACCCTAGTCTTGATAGTTGAAAGAATTAAAAATATTATAACATTGGCTACTTAAAACAATACAATTTCAATATTTTTTTTTATTTGACAGTAATGTAATAGACACCGTTATAATATCTGCACAATGCAAATTGTATCTGTCCAATTCGAGCTTTGTAGTGGCTAAAGATGATTGATAGACCACAGAGCTGTATAAGAAAACAGTCTAAATGGTAAAAACAAAAAACAAAAAAAACTAATAAACATACCTCCCATCAAATTGATGTGCTCTATATTATAGTATAAACAATATGCACACGAATAACATATAACTCACGAATAACAATAACACACGAATAACGAATAACAGCGTGAGGCGTGAAGTAATTAATAAAATGTGAGAATATCAAGTAGTAGCACTAATTAATTTAATCAAACCCCGCCGGTATGTAGGTGAATAATCGAATGGTAACACTACCAGAGTCACTTGAGTACACGTAGTGCTGGGATTGCGACCCCGAAAAAGAAACACCAAAACATGTCAAGTTTATTTACCGCTCGGATAATTGCATTGAACGCTTGTTGTTTCATTTGATTTCTACCAAAACGGTTTGCTTACCGTGTCAATCACTATAATGTATTATGACGGCATGAACTACTCCAAAACAAAATTACTTAAAAGAATTACTCGCAAGAAAAACATAAACGAAATTATCTTAATTACATTTTGACTCGACACACGTCACTTTAAACAATCACGATAATTATTTTAATTTATTAAAAAAAAAACCTAAACCGAAATTCTTTTATTTTTATTTTAAACATAAACACGCGATAATATTGTTCTAATAATTATTAGGTAAAGCACAAAAAAAAATCAACTAGCCGCAAACGTACATAATGTTACAATAAACTGCGTTTTAATAACAATTTTACTTTAATAATTCTTTAAATTATTTATTTAGTTCTTTCTCGTTTTCTTTTATTTTTGCCCCGATTTTTAGCAACTAATCGAAGTAAAAAAACAATTGAAGAGGTCTAATGAAAATTTCATAGTGCCAAAACGTATTTGTGTTGCCGGTTTGTTGGTTTAATTGCGTTTGCTGTTATTGGAAACAAAAACGATTTGCCTCTACTGTTTAACTGTTTCCTCTTCGTGTACCTAATACATATTACCGCACACATAATAGTAATAATATGATGTGTTATTAGGAAATCTGTTTGAGTATAACCAAAAGAGACCGATAAAACAGAAAAAGAACTACTTTACCAGACTGTTAGTTATCGACCTATGAACGTTGAAGTTCTTTTTTTATTATCCAAGTGAGAAAAGATTACAAAAACACGTTGAGTACCGCTTCTATGTGTAATAAGTATACTTATTTTTACTTAAGTAAAAAAATATTTGAAAAGCATTATTTTATTTAAAAATGTAAACATTTGTAGTATCATTTGCATGAGCGATTGTGTCTTGGAATGGATACTATTTTCTGTATTTTTTGTTTTTTTGTGTAAGTTATTGAACAACTAATAAAGAACAATTTGGTTTTTAATAAAGAAATATAATAGCTAAAACGAAGTAACTGTGTATGAGATTATCTATAAATTATTGAATGTTATGTTACCACCATATAAACTTTATCCCAATATATAGTTAAACCCATATCAGTAAAGGTCTAAATTAAGACATCAGTATTATAAGGACAAGTCCGATACTGTAATTGCTTAAGGTAAACATTTTTGAACATACAATAAAGTTGTCCCACAAAGTAAAATTGTGGAACAGGTCCGTAGTAGTATAAAATAATATTAAAGCTCTACAATAAACTTTTCAACTTTAAATTAAATTACTATAGTTGTTGTTCAGTTATAGTTATATTTTTATTAATTTTAAAAATACTGTACTATGTATTATATTGTCAATTATGAGCTTGTCCCGTAAATATAAATATTAAATAAATAAATAAGAAAAAGTTTGTGACTTGGCGGCCATCGTGTAACAGGCTTACTATCAACTATGTGCAAACGTAGTAAGAAGGCCTACTATCTTGTGCAGAGTCGTCTTATCCGTCTCTTCTTTTACTTGATTTTAGTGTTGTTATTACGTGAAACTTGGGTCTTGAGGTTTTTTTTTAAGTTAATTCCAAAAACTATCCGAAATATTAATATGTCCATAATTTGACATGTCCACTTAGCGGCCGTTTTGCCAAGACTTCCTCGTCGGCGGCCGCAGCAATGTTCACATGGACGAGACGGCTGCGGCGGCGGTGGCAACGATGGCCGACTAAAGATAAACTCGCGGCGGCCGTCCTCGCCGCCACCGCACCCCGTCGGTGCCGCACCGTCCGGACAACAACTATTTCAGGTTCATCTCTCTGTCACGCATACACACACGCATTCTCCCGCCGCCGCAGCCACCACCACGGCCGCCGACGACGACCGCACCACCACTCCGTCCGTCGTGACCAACAGCTTCCAACGGCGGCGGCTGCCTCGCTGCAGATTGTATACGCGCGCACCACCAGTTAGTACCCGACAACGTGACGACGCACACCGGCTGGCCTTTACTTAAATATAAGTAAAAATAATTTCGAGAAATAAAAAGTGGTTATCCTCAAAGTAATAACAATTTATTTCTCGGATTTTGACCGCGTCCGTTGTCCGCACGCGAACACGTCCGACCGTACACGCCGTCTGCACCTCCGGAGGGACGACCACCGGCCGTTTTTTACCGAGTGGCCATCGCGATCCGGCGTCCTCGGCGCCGCTTGAGTGCAATGACCGCGTGATATACGCACCGCCGTCGGCGTCCCGACAGCGTTCCCGCGCCGGTGGTGGCGTCCACCGGTGTCGCGATCATGAAGACAGACCGGACGTCCAGACCAACGACGGCCGCAGACCTGTTGACCGGCTGGCTGACGGTGTTGGCCGTGGCCGCGCTGGCGGTAGACGCCAAAAGCTCAGGTAAACATCTTAGTTACAATGACAATAAAAATCATCCTAAAAAAAAAAGAAACAGCTATTTGACCAATAAAGTTAGGAATCTACCGTTTTATGTTTTTAACGGACTACACATTTTTCATTAAACGTTTTTCATTGATTCCCTAATGAATTCCTTCTTGCGAACCAGACACATAAGAATAACGAGAACCGACAACCCGACAAAAAGTCCGTCACGTTAAATTATTTGTTTCATACTGCTGGCACGTTCCCATCGCGTTGGGGAGGTGTGAAAATGGTTATTAAATTATAATCACTTTTATGAAGAATGGTTAGAAACAATTCTGCGTCATAGTATCCAGCATAGTTGCTGACGCAATTATGTCCGAACACCGTCAGTTAACGATAACAAAATATTTTTTAAAAATCACAACGAATTAGTATTGTTTGTTATGACGATGAATGCTATTGAAGTCTCCCACGCAGCGCGAACAGTAGTAAATTTTTTAGTCGAAACGATTAGTGTTTTTTTATGTACACTGTATTTCGGCCGAAAATCGCAGTATGACCCGAGTTAAATAAGACGATCGGTGTTTTATGCTATTTTTTCCTAGAAGTAGGTAGACGGTAATAACCAGTAAAAACCTCAATTTTGCCAAAACTGAAGTTTTAACTGTTTTAGATCAGTTATTTTTTTCAATTTAAAGACAGTTTTTTTTTAAGATATTATATACATGACAATGAAAAATTAACAGTTATGGGAAGACACTCAGCAGCGTCACCCGGCTAGGAAGAAGAAAAAAAATATAATTTTTCCTTATATTGTTATTTATTGTAATTATTGTAGTAGATCTCTAGGCCATCTTCTCTTTAATCTTAAAGACAGTTAAAACCTCATTTTTGTTAAAACTGAACTTGAGTTCATGATCGCTCACCAAAGATATATTTTGTACACATTTTAAACATTTATCAAGAGTACTTGGAAAATAGTGGATTTCATTTGTTTATTTCTTCATGTGCGGTATCGCAGAAAATAGTAGGGTTTTTTCATTTTAAAGGGTTAAAGTTCAAGTCGTTCTCTCCTGCTTAGTGAGGGCGGCGCGACGAGTACCATTAACGGACCGCTTGGATGTTCACCTTTCACCTAAAGGGAAATAATTATTACAAGAGGCGGCTAGTCGATATCCGAGCGGTTGCGGTATTTTGTTATTCATAGGCTTATAATACACAACAATATATTATGTATGTAGCTAATGTATATATTTGACGTGGGAATTGTCGGTATGGGCGATAACGATCCGGGTGCGGGAAAGAGAGATAGGAGTTAACAATTGACTTAGGATAACGGTCGTACATTGATTATTGATATTGTCAAGACAAATAAAAGTTTAAGTATTCCTACTACTCTAATTGCGTATAATATGGTAGCATATATTTTGGTATTCCTAGTGGTATCGTGATAACGACAACGCATATGGTGCGCCTTCACGGATATAATTATTATTTACAAAACCGTATTAGACCGTGATGGCGCATACTTGTTGCTGTTTATTGTATATAACATAACACACAAAGCTGGTAATAATAATAGTCGTTTTGCGGTCTGAGAATGTTTTATCTGCGAGACAAAACGTTCCGGGAACTCTGCAGCGAATCCAGGTGATCTCGCACATATTGTCTGAATCGCTAACCATCAAGGCTAAACAGTGACAGTTTTGACAGTCAATTTTGTCGGAAACCACCAAACGACAAGTTCAAAGTACGTCTTTCGTACAAAGTTTTACGAAGTGCCTCGCACGAGGCCTGCGTGCTCAAAACACAATAAGGAAATCGTTTAGCAATAAATTATACACCACGGGTTCGCCATAAAGTCTAGCCGTGTAGTCTTTCCCCGTGTAAAGAAACTCTGTTGTTGTTGTTGATTTTTTCCCTTCACAATGTCTTATACCCCGACAGACAGTGGTCTGCAGGAAACGTCTTGGACCTTTCTGTAGCGATAGGGTGTACCGGGTACGGCAATAAATACCTATTCTATACATAATAACACAATATTATATACCGTTAAGATCCTCGTCTACGCGCACGTGTACCTCTTACACCCAAAAAGGCCAGCACTGATACCTTCTGTATAGTCCCATGTATTTTTTTTTACCAAATGATAAATGAAATTTCGACACAAAAACGTGATATCGTCGAGATTGTAACCTGTCGCTGGGTGGTCGGCTACATATATTATATTATAAAGGTATTTAAGATTAAAAAAAAAACTACCACCGTCATTCCGCCGAATACCTTTGGATCCTGACATCATCAATTCCGTAGGTTACAATGTATAATATATTATGATATATTGACACACGCTGCAACGTTAATACCAAAATGTCATTTATCTATCCTTAAGTCAAAAGCCCAAAAAAACACTGAAAGCCCGTGGTTTCATAGAACGGTCCAAATTATTTTTCAAACATTATAACCTAACTATTATTATTTGATATTAATTTTAACAGAGCTAAGGTGAGGATAAAATCGCATTAACACAAACAAATTGGTCGAAATGTGTGTAATTAATAATTTTAAAAAATATGTAAACTAAGAAATTGACGTGGTCCGTTTTCCTAAACTATACAATTGTATTCATTAAATGCAATAACAATAAATTTGTATAATTAATTAAATTAATTAAATTTATACATTTGAAAAAAATAATAATTGTCAATCAAAATAAATCAAATAGTTGTTTATTCCTTAACATAGTTAAAAAGTATGTATACAAGATAAGTATTTAAGATACGTATTCGACGTAAAGTTTTAGTATTTAGTAGATTATTTTTCAAAATACTTGTGTTTTGCATTCAGGTTCCTTGTAATCAACAAATGATTTTATTATTGATTTTGTTAAGTTAACGGCATTTTATTTCTCTACATATTACCACAGTACATATTTTATACTGAACTACTGGATATTTGATTTAGTGTAGCTCCATGGACGCTTAAAATTGTTAAAAATAACCGAGAAGATTTTAAGTTCTTACCCCGGTGGAGCACCCTTGAACCTTCCCTCCTCCCTTTTACAGTTGAGTTATAAATAATTTATAATCCATTAAGAGATACGTGGTTTGTTGTTTTCGTTGTGTAGTCTCATTTACTGCATTAAAAGCCATTTATTCGCCTCTATCGTTCGGGCATAGAGTCTTTATTTTGATATTATTATTTTTTAATACAAAAGTGATCGTTTCTCACTTTCAGAAGATGTAACTGGCGTTTAATACCGATTAAGCCCGGGAGGACGACTAAAGTAAACTCTTAATTCTTATGCGATGTCCAACCCGGACTCGAACTCCTTTTGTCAAAAAAAAAAAAAATAATAATAAGTAATATTATCCAGGCTAACCACGCACGCTGCCGAGTACTACGAATATTTCGCGTCAGCTCTAGAGACTTATGTCTGACATAAATCCAAGTACAAACACACACAAGCACTTGGGCACGTTTGCGGCATTCCACAGGATGAGTTTCCATATGAGGAGCGAACCACTTCATTTCCGAACCACTTAACGGAATGACCGACGGTCGTCGACGACTTGGTGGACCGTCGATGGCATAGGACGATCCAGACTAAATAAACACATAGAAATGTAGGAGTTAAATTTAAACAAATTTTCTGTGTTGTTTGTAGTATATAAAATGGCAGTTCTGATGTTATTTAAAGTCATTCTAGTTATTGTACTCAAATTAACTCATTTTGAGCATAACTTTTGAAGTTGCAATTTAAACACAAGGAAAATTTCAATTAAACATTAATTGGTTTCAAATAACCTTCATTAATTCGGGTAAACACGAATCAGTCGTGTGAACTTAGTTGATTGAATGTATCTTGTGGTTGGAAAACCAATGAACGACTCGGACCTTTTACCGGCGTCGTTTTTTCTACTATGAGATTAACACCGGAGAACCGGGAGATTTAATGCACATCGTTTCATTAGAAAAACGTATTATAATACATCATCTCCATCGTCCTAAGTACGAGACGCCTAATGCGTTTGTTTGTGCTTGGTATTTAATAACACATAACAATAAAGAGATCTGTCAGCGCGTTCCCCCGCGTTCATCGAAATCCTGGTATAGGCACCTCCGGTATTTCTATTTATTATTATTATTATTCACTCGGCCGTCTTGTAATTATTATACTTCATTTTTTTCCTATTCCTTTTTTTTTCTACCAAGTACGACATCAGCACGAAACACGTTTTACCGGCGGCGGCGGCGGCTACCGGTAAAAGACAAACGGTCGGACGGTCCATAATATCATTATACTATAGTGAGATCCTTGGATTTAGGGAGCTGACAAACAGAGAGAGAGAGAGAGAGAGAGAGAGAGAGAGCAAAGACCCGGGTCGTTGTGTAAAAGCTGTTAAAAGAGTTGTAAAATAGTTATAGGCGAAAAATTAAAATAATAGTAATAAATAAAAACTATAAACGACCGGTCGTTTGTCGACCATTAAACGCGACGACAACGATGGCGAAAACGCCGACCAACTATTTAACCCGCTTTAATATACAAAAACTATTTATTACGGTAAACGCCGGAAACGGTACGTTTTTTTAATTTTTTTGTAAACAATTAGGCCGAACACCACGCGTGGCAATAATGTTTTCCGGTACGTTATTCGTTTTTAACGCGCCTGCTGCCCGTTAATTTATCGCTATACTTTTAGAGGTACGGTTTCCTCCAGCTTGTATACTTTGGCCAGAGCCACTGCCACCGTATAACGAGTACGGTTGTAACCTGCGCTACATCTTACAACATGTGTGTGCGTGTGGTTAAAATCCCAAAAACCTTTTATCGCCAAAAGTAATTGGTAATCCTATTGCAGATGCCAACAAAAAAAAATGCAATACCGACGGAAATCCGTTGGATTTGGCCGGCCGCTGGTGCTCTCATCTCTGATCTTTCTCTCTCTGTTTGTATGTGCTTGTGCGTTTGTCTATCTATTCTGTGATAATAATATCTAGGCGAAGGCAAA